TTCAACCTGAAGTAAATGGAAAATTGATGGGTGCTGCCCTGTTGGAAAATTGTAGCACAAAACAACTTGTCTGATCCCATGAAATAGAACCATTTGGAGAAAAATAAATTAACTCTATTTTAAACTCAAAGTCCTCATTTCTTCCACTTTTCCTTTCCATTCCCCTTTTAATGGTATTCTTAGATTATTTTGCCCCACATCCCCTTTCTCTGCTTTTTCTTATCTCTGTGTCATTCTGTGTGCCATCAGTAAGCAATGACTGGGATATTGCGGTGGTGTTGTCTCTCCAGGCGCTGTAGTCCTCAGGGAGAGACCACGTGTCCTCCCAAAGTGCCCACAGTTCCTCACCCTTATCCTTCTGATGCTGACTCTTCACAGAAAGTCCTCTGGATGTCCCTGCACATCCCAGCCAGGATACGTGGCAGTGGCAGCAGGGGTATGTTTTATTGATCACTGGATTCAAAATCCATTCCTTAAGAAAAGGACTATGTGTGGAGACTTGGAAGGAGACAATTTCATTGAAAAATCAAGTCTTTGATCCCCAATTCACTAAATGACTCAGTCACCAAATTTACTTGTTTGACCCTGAAGTTTGAGTTGAGAGCTGCCGCAGTCTGGCAGGGCACAAATCACGAGCCACTCAAGAGGAACAAACTTTATTTCTGAACTCCACCAGCACACTCCACACACGCTCCCCAGGAATTCTCCCGAACGCCACGTGGCTCCTCCTGGAACCACCAACCGGAAATCCCTCCTTCGGTACTTCCCCAACCCATGCAAACTCTTCAGGAATCCCAGCGAGAGCTCAACCAGAACTCAATGGGAACTCCGGCAAGAACTCAAAAGTTATCATCTTAATGGCTCGCTGGCGTCACCTCTCAACCACTACTTCTGGCAAAAATGCCATGCGTCATCCCGACTAGGCTGTGGCCCTCAACAGAGAGCAGTTTATTTTTTTTATTTTTTATTTTCAGCTAGAAACTGAAAGGTAGACAGAGGCTGAGAGGGCATAACAAGAACATATTTTTGAAGAAAGATTTCTACTGAATATATTCTTCATTAATAAATTTATTCATAGGAAGAATGTAAGGATTCTGAATATTCAAGAATCTATTAACAAATAGATTCTTCATGAATGTATTTATAAGAAGAGTTAAGTTTTTAAGAGGAATACATTTGAAAGAGAATATACTCATGAAGACTACATTCTCCAACATTATGAATATGTTCATAGGAACACTTCATATTCAAAATAATATTCTTCAGTCCTGGGAGTGGCAGAGACAAAACTGAATACTTCTTAACGTGATATGAAGCAAAAGACTAATGAGTAAGTGGAAACTTGGTGATTTATTAGGTGGTTGAGAAATGTTACTAGATCACACAGCTGGCCAGGTCCAGGATGAAGGATTCAAACTCTGACCACAGCCCAAGTACTTTCCACTATACTCAGTGTCCCCATTACTTACCCTATATTCAACAATGACTCATCCCAGAAATCCCAGGCATGTTTGAAAGTCAGCATTCAGTAAGGGAAAGATGTTATGTCTTAGAGTTTTGTGTTATCAAAGAGTCAGTGTCTTGTGCTGTCACTCTCGGAAATTCTTTGAATATGTGGGTTATTTAAGGTCAGGATGTCTAATCACAAAGGGAGTGAAGTTTTCAGAGATGGTTAAGGATAGGCTTTTTTCTGAACATTCTAGGGCTGTTGGAAGTGAAAGGAATTTATTTTTTATAAAACGTACCTGAAATTACAGGCATTCAGACTACATTCTCAAAAGTCCTAAGCTCCCTTAGGATTCTTGCTAATGATCTAGTTTCCAGCATCCTACATACTTACGATATGTTGTACAAATGGTCCTTTGGGGGAATCTAATAACCTAGAAGTCTGTATTTCTTAAAGCCCTGTTGGCTTTTGCTTTCTCCCTGACTCAAACCATATTCCAGATGGGAATTCAGAAGAGAGACCAGGGCCAGTATCCTCCACCCTCTGCATTGTTTCTGGATGGTGTGTGGGTGCGGTCCTCCCAGTAGAGTGCAAGATTTCAACTTTTAGCAGTTCAACCCTTTCTGGAGAGTATTGAGAGAGGGGAAGGAGACTGGCTGGAATGTAGTAGAAGCCAGAAGACGACGGAGCTGAGTCCAGGATAACCCATGGTCCCTCAGCAGCATCCAGCCACTCTAAGAGAAGCAGGCCTCGTGGAGTTGGCACATGCTGATCAGCTTTGATGCAAACTCAAAGGGTTTGTATGTGGGAGATTCCTTGTAGCTTGGTCCAATGCCAAAGAAATGAGTTCCTGCTGCTCTTCGGTCCTGCTCTTGTTTGATTGATACCTACTTAATGGCTGCCATTAGACATCAGGACCCTATATATGTTATGTTGCTTATATTTGTATGCATGCAAATACCCACCAAAATCAAATTTAAAAAACCCTGGTGTAGATATTACTTTCTTGTTTTACAAAGAAGTTACATCTGTCTAGGAAGTTGCAGAGCTGAGATTTGCATTTAAATTCTGTTGGCTTGTGTCATTTATCGATGCAACAAATAACTTACTATGCTTCAAGTGCCAGGGTCTATGCCAAGCGCAGGGAATCAGTGATGAACAGGACTGATGTAGACTTTATCGCCACGAGCGCAGGGAATCAGTGATGAACAGGACTGATGTAGACTTTATCGCCACGATCTTCCAAACTAGTGGGAACAGACAAGTAATAACAATAAAGAGTGAAGGGTGATAGATGGGGAGATGCCAGTTTCTGAGGGGTCAGAAAGTCAGTTGGGCACCTCACAGTTAAGGTGTCAAGAAAGACTACTGAGAAGTCAGGGGAAGAACACATTGGGCAGTGAGATGGGCAGATGCAAAGGTAGGAGGCGTAAGAGTGGCGTGAATTTGGAGGAAGGTTGAGTATAAATCAAGTGCAGAATATTAAAGAAAGTAAAGGGAGAGGGCAGAGGGCTGAGTAGAATGTCTGCAGTGTGCTGGGGCCAGCAGGGACCAGCTCCCAAGAACTGATGGTGCACATTCTCCCTAACTCCAGTGTTATCCAGCTACGAAACAGCATGGACAGTCAGAGGGTTTCAGCTTCCTGGCTGGGGCACTACTCTGATGAGGGCACTGTTCACCCAGGTGAGAAGATCTGAGTTTCCTTTTGACTATGTTAAGGTCGAGGGTGGCAGAGTGGGGTGTTCTTCAGGTGATGGACACCTGGATCTATCTCTGATCATGCTGGCTTCCAGGAACAACGTTCAATCCCAATTTTGCTTGGTATCATTTGTTCTGGTCTAGGAAATGTGTTGAAATGACATTCATATAATGTGCAAGCCAGGTCTTCCATGGATGATAAACAATGAGCAATTTTAAAATTCTTATTATTTAAAAAAATCCCCAATTTGGTATCTCAAATTATTAACACTAAACCTTTTTCCCTAAGGGAACCTATCCCAAGGAACTCAGTGGTACAGCTGGCTGACTTTGCTGACTAACACATGTAGCAAATCAACCTTTGCTCTTCCACAGCTGGGGAAAACCAGACTATGGTGTGGGTGTAGGTTATAATGATGTGCTCATTAAAGATAGAAAGGTGTGGATTTTGTTTTATCTGTTTATTATCATTTAAAATATATTAAAATTTTAACAGCAGAAGCAGGGAATTTTAATTGCACATGGCAGTCTACAAAAAGCAAAGCAAAACAACAAACCAAATGCCACAGAAACAAAATTTACATAACTGATAATATATTAAAATTACATTTAGATAAGGATCTGAACAAATGTAATGTATGCATATTTCTCAGAGAAGATTTTTTTCTTTCGTTACCTAAAATTGGAGAACTTCTGTAAGCAGAATTAACTTTCTTAAACTGTTAACATTCCTAAGGAGGCAAATGGATGTGGTCAGTTCTGAGTCTCTTCTCTATGAATTCCCTTTTTTCTTCCTACCCTAAAATGATGAATTTCCACTTCCATGAGGGCATTTGTAGCTTGCTGCTCTACATGGAAGAGCAGTAAGAAGCTAAGAAAGAGGTACTTGCCTTTTGTAACTGTGGGACAAACTCCACACAACTTGGGTCTCTGATATAATCAATTATAAAACAAATAAAATCTGATAATGAGTCAGAATTTTTCAAACAAATAACAGATACCGAGCTCCCAACGTTAGAAATATTCCTTCCTAATGGCAGGGTTCTGTAAAGGTGTACACAGGGCCCAGATGTACTTGTCATATAGATCCGACAGGATGCAGGGGAAAACAGCACCCCTGAGCTCTCCACAGAGTGGGAGCCAGGAGGATTTCACTGTGGGTGGTATCTGGCCTACCAGCCAATGCCAGCGTTAGAATGGGGACCCTAGGGGACCCACAGCTGGTGAAAGCTCCTCAGAAGGGTATTATCATCTTCTGGAAGGGCCCACCCAACTGTTCTCCCATGATTCCTGGGCACGTTCTTTTGTGTAAGCTCCTGGACTCCTTGGGGCGGCAACCAAGAAGTGGTTAATGGAATAAAAAAGAGATTTCATGAACTGCAAAATCATGTGCTTATTATTTTTTTTAAAGAGTCATACTTTCCTGAGTAAAGTACACAAAAGCCTTACAGGAAGTCTTTAAAGTGCCAGGCCTCCAGTCAGCAGGTATGAGCCATGTTCAGATGTGGTTCTGGTGAAAACACTAACAATGTGTTGATGCATCTGCTTTTCTGATATTGTACCACTTGAGAGACTTGTGCTTGCAAGATGGAAAATGTCTTCTTTTATGGTGAGGGAAGGACACAGATGTATGTGTGGGCTTCTTTGGTCTGTTTGTTGCAACACATCATAGCAGAAAGGATCCCATCAACGATAACCACATTCATAAAACCACACTTGTGCCTGAGCCTCTGAGTCACTGGCACACCATCACTCTTCAAAATCCTCTACACATGAACCACAGATGCTTGAAAGTGTCCAGATTAAATATGGATATGACCATGGGGACATTCAAATCAAATTGATGGGTGCCAATTTACTGCTGAAAGAGTCCTGGCACTGGCATGAGTTTGGAAGCACCTTTACTCTGTGACATCCTGGCCTGTGACAGTGTCTTCTTCTGTGAGGTCCTGGGAGTTCCTGAACATCAGGATGGAGTTGTAGATCTTCAGCGCGGGGCCCAGCTTGATCTTCATCACTCTGACGATGTCTGTCTGTGTCAGAAGCAGGAAGGCTTTGCCATCGATCTGCTGCAAACAAATAAACAAACACAATTTACAATATCCTGCCATTAAAGCTTGGTTACCCACTGGGAACTCCTGGGTGCTGAATGTGAGACCAAATCATCAAGGCCTCCATGGAGAGCTTGTCAGTGACCACCCATCCATCAACTTCATCTCCTCCTAGGTCTTGGGACTAAAGTTATTTTGAAAAGGTGCTTACTCTCTTAATTAAGAATTCCATATACAAAAATTTTCCAGTATGAATTTCTGTTGTTGTGTTTAAAAAATCTTGGTCTTGAATTTGTATCAAAAGCTGTTAAAGTAATGCTATAAATCTCCAAGAGTTTTGTTTTTTTCCCCCCTGAGAGAATAATATGCAATGTGCATACTATAGCAATACTTATAATACTGGAAACAATCCAGAGTTCCAATAAGAGCTGAAGTAAATAAGTTATAGTATAGCCATGGGATGAGACACTAAGCAGGCACCCAAATTTACTTCTCTATGAAACATTTAATGATCTGAGAAATTTCATGAATTGTTAAGCAATAATACAGCATGTTGACACAAATCTCAAACTTGATTTTTTAAATTAAATGTACATGACCACATGTATACATAATATTTAAAATATTTGAAATTTTACATCAAATATTAACAGAAGTTGTCTTTGGCTGGTGGAAGAGTGATTGGTTTTTATTATCTCCTTTTAATTTTCTTATATCTTAAGTTTGTAAATATTTTATTTATTTGCCTTAAAAACATTTTAAAATTAGCTCAGAAGGATTCCTGGCTCTAAATGAAGATCTAATGTCTGAATGAGTGGTGATAGATGTATCTGTAAGGTTTTTTTTTTTTTGTGTGGTATTGGGAATTGAACCCCAGGGTTGCTTTACTACTTAGCTATATCCATGGTCCTTTTTAATTTTTTTATTTTTGAGAAGGGTCTTGTTAAGCTGCTTAGGGCCTTATTAAGTTGCTGAGGCTGACTTGGAACTTGGAATACTCCTGCCTAAGCTTCCTGAGCTGCTGGGATTATAGGCAAGCATCACTATATACCTGGCTGTATCAGTGATCTAGATTGTGAGAAATTGTTATACAATGTATATGCATATTAAATCATCATGTTCTATGCCTTGATTTTTTTAAAGAGAGAGAGAGAGAGAGAGAATTTTTTTAAAGAGAGAGTGAGAGAGAGAGATAGAGGTAGAGAGAGAGAGAATTTTAATATTTATTTTTTAGTTTTCAGCGGACACAACATTTTTGTTTGTATGTGGTGCTGAGGATTGAACCCGGGCTGCACGCACACCAGGCGAGCTCGCTACCGCTTGAGCCACATCCCCAGCCCTTCAATTTTTATTAGACAATTAAATATTTTTAAATAGAAAATACTGTAGTGTGAAGTGTGATTTTTTTTCCTTGAGTCAGTAATGGTGAATGGCTAGACTGCTTGTCCACAGCTTCTTGAGGCACTGGGGACCTCAGAGCTTGTCTCCAGAGGCTGCTTGAGTGTCTTTCCCCCTGTAACACCACTGAGGTGATGGTGACGATGCAGCTAATATTTGAGGTACAGCCTGACTCAGCTAAATCCTGGCTCCAGAACCACAGAGGCAGGAATGAAAGGGGTTTCCATACTAGCAACGCTTCCACAAACCTTGAGCCATGGTTCTAAACCTTTTCAAATTTCATAATACAAACCCCTTAGAATTCATGTCTCATTGAAAGTGATGATTCTTATAATGGAAGGAAGAATTACCCTGAGACCCCTGGGGTGGGATTTGAACATTTTAACTCTCTTTTAAAATTCTAATTTGTTATATATGACAGCAGAATGCAATTCAATTCATATTACACAAATAGAGCACAATTTTTCATGTCTCTGGTTGTACACAAAGTAGAGTCACACCACACCTTTGTGTCTTCATACATATACCTAGGGTGTCTGTCTCATTCCACTGCCTTTCCTACCCTCATGCTCCCACCTCTTCCCCTCCCTCCCTTTACCCTATCTAAAGGTGGTCTATTCCTCCCATGCTGCCTCCCATCCCCGTTATGAATCAGCATCCTTATATCAGAGAAAATACTTAGCATTTTTTTTTGGGTTGGCTTATTTCACTTAGCATTTTATTCTCCAACTCCATCTATTTACCTGCAAATGCCATGATTTTATTCTCTTTTAATGCTGAGTAATATTCCATTGTGTATATATACTGCATTTCTTTAGCCATTCATCTACTGAAGGGTATCTAGGTTGGTCCCACAATTTAGCTACTGTGAATTGTGCTGCTCTAAACATTGAAGTGGCTGCATCAGTGTGGTATGCTGTTTTTAAGTCCTTTGGGTATAAACCGAGGAGGGGGATAGCTGGGTCAAATGGTGGTTCCAGTTTTCCAAGGAATCTCTATACCACTTTCCACATTGTCTGTACCAATTTGCAGTCCCACCAGCAATGTATGAGTATACCTTTTCCCCCACATCCTCAGCAACATTTATTGTTGTTTGTATTCTTAATAGCTGCCATTCTGAGTGCAGTGAGATGAAGTCTTAGAGTGGCTTTGACTTGCATTTCTCTAATTGCTAGATGTTGAACATTTTTTCATATATTTATTGATAGATTGAATATCATCTTCTGAGAAGTGTCTGTTCTGAACATTTTAATCCTTTAAAAGTTTGGAAAAGCTTCCTGTGCATTTATGATATATTGAAGATTTATCCATTTAGCACATACTAAAAGCAAATACTTTCCCCAGGGGCTAAAAAGCACACACTATAGGTGGAGGAGAGAGAATATGCCTCCTTCCATCCCTAACATGGGTCTGGCTCTAGCATTTTCAAGCAAAAATTGTTGTCCACATATCCAGTTGTCCTGATAATAAGTGATGATGGTGACGATACAGCTAACATTTAAGGAACTCTGATAACCTTCCATGTATTTGAACCTCCCAGTGACTCTGTAAGGTAGATGAGGAAACCTGAAATTCTAAGCTAAAAGACTTGTGTTTCAGAGGGGAGGGAAGAGAGAAGTTGAGTGACCCGAGCACATAACAGAGTTGGTCAGGAAGGATCAAGCTGGAATAAACTGGCCACAAAGGATTCTCTTTCCTGCTCATCATGCAGACAGACTCCGACAAGGTGGGTAACACAGACAGTAGACTCATGTATGAGGCTGGGTCAACAGTGCCCAGGCTGTGCTGCACTCAGGTGGAATCAGGAGAACCTCGTTTTATTGGCAGCCAGTAGACCAATGCCATTCTGACTGGGCTCCATAGTGCTTCTCTTGAATGCACATATCCTCCGAACTCGAGAGGAAGAGAGGTGTGTGGTGCTTTCTAGAGTTCTTAGGAGGGTACTTCTTTGGTAAGTTCTAAAGCTGTGAATGAGGCTCTGGAATCAGATGTATTTGGGATACAATCCAACTCTGCTCTTTGCTTGTGATGCCTAGCCCTCTTGAACCTGAACTTTTTCGTGGTGAACTGTCAATGTAGAATGTTTCGAGAATCAAAAGATAATGATTATAGGCCTGCACCACATGGCAGGCCTATGGTAATCACTGTCATTATTATTTGCATTACCATTCTGTTGTTGGTATTATTATTTGCAGTATCATTCTGTGGCCCATATGGCTATGGATACTAATTCCAGGAAAAATGTTAAGCAGTTCAGAAAAATCCCAGCCAAGGGAAGGCAGGAGGCAGAGATCTCACAGGATTCTGTGGCTCCTCCACACCCCTCTTGAAGCAGGTGCTGGCAGGGATAACAGGATGGTCCCCCTTCTGCATTTGGAGCAGAGTCCCCTCTACTTCTTGGTTGTAGTCCCAAGGGAAGATTCCTCTCTTCCCCCCCGTATGGCCCCATGCAGAGACTTCATGATTAATTATCTTGTTCATTTACTCTTCCACCAAACAGTATATTTGTGGAGCATACTGTCTAAGCTGAGTGTCACAGCACTCTGTGACAAAGCAGAGCTAAATAAGTGAGAACCAAAGACAGTGGCTGCCCCTCTGCATCAGTCTCTCACTTACTGCTGGGCTCCTGCCCTGCTGGCTCCCTTTTCTCTTGCCTTCCCAAACTGCTCTTATTTATACTTAACTAAACAGAAATAAAGAACTTTTGGGCCAGAAGTATGGAAATATATCTAATTTTTACATTTCTTACCTCTTTCTTGAAGCACTTGGCATGTTCTTCGCAGCCCAAAAGAGACTGTACAAACTCAGCCACCTACAGTGCAAGATGAAAAGCCTAATTTAAGACACACACCTGAAATAATTTGGGGGTTGTAGTAAATCAACATGTGAGTAAAATAAACTTTGAATCCCTCAAACACTTGGGATTTCAATAGTAACTATCAAGTCACATTAGCATTTGTCAGCTGAGCAATTAGTCCTGCCCCCAGTGTCTTTTCTATCCTTTGATCACCAAGCTGACCTATACAGGGTTATGGTGATAATGGTGAAGTGATGGCCTCCCTCTGAGTGGGGTTCTGGCATTCTAGAAGCTTCTTGCACTTGAACCTCCTGACCACACTCCAGTGTCAAGGTAGGCAGGGGACAGTGGCCTCATGCAGCAATATTCACAAGTACCACTGTATTTGTAGGCAGACTTGATGGCAGAGTCCCCTCTTAGGGCTGAGGCTCCAGGTCCTCACCTGGTGCCTGGCAGCCTGGAGGAAATTGTGAATCTATGCTGAGCTGGATTCCCAATTCAACAACCACAAAACTGAAGCCCAAGGAGGTTTAACAACTTACCCAAGCTCACACATGGTCAGTGGGTAGCAGAGATGTTTTTGGACCTGGTTTTCTACCTCAAATCCTGAGTTCTGGAGACTTGGTCCCTTTCACTTGACTTCCCAACTCTCTTTTTTACCCTTTCTCTGTCCCCACATGCCCCATGTTCCTTTTAATAAAATAACTCAGTCAAGGATGGACTGTCAACTCAGGAAGCCATGGATTGGTCTCAACAGACAATTTAGGGGAGCTCCCTGAACAGACATGATAAAATGTAGACTCCTAACAAACCCAGATGACTGCTGGGCTCTGGCTATTTCTAGCTGGGTCTGGCACAGTCTCAGCAGGGGAGGAATGGAAGCAGGAGCACAATAGTAAATGGAATTGTGGGAGTGAGATTTGTAGGAGGAACTGTCCTCTTGCTTGTTTTTCCTCTTGGCTCTCTCTTTCACTGAATGGTGAGCGCTCACCCTGTCCCTCTCCGCATCTCACGGGGAAGGTCTCAAGAGGGCTGCAGAGCTCATGGTCTTATACTAACAAGTTCCACCATGGCAGCATTCTGGGAGCACCCACTCCCTCAGAGCCCCCCATGAGACGTAAGAAGATGCTCCTCCTCTCACTGCAGAAGAGCACCGGGTGATGGGTGACCCAGGTTCTAGCACAGTCAGGGAGGACCAATGCCTCCAGACACACCCTGTGGCTGCACACCTGAGTTCTATCTGCTTTATGCTCTTCTGGCACTGTGAGTCTATTTCATCATGGGTCCCTTTGCAATCATCCTTCTAGAGGTGATAAGGACGTAGAAAGTCCCTCCCAAACCAGCCATCACGCAGCATGTGTTGGCACCACCCTGACCCAGGAGCTCTGGGATGAGTGCCCATGTGCTCAGGCCAGCTGTGGTTCTTAGCATGACAGGCCCAGTTTATTCAGAACCTGGGGCTCTGCAACACAAGTGGAAAAAGCTGAGGTTTACTGAGTTCACCTGATTGTCTTCTTCTAGGTAAACAGGATGCACGGAGCATGTGTATAGCATCTGCAGGGAGCAGGAGAAAGTCATGGAAGGCCTCCGGTCAATTGGAACTCAGGTGACAAGAGCTTTGATGGTGGCTAAGGACTCCTAATGGGTCTCTGGCCCAAAACACTGAGAGATGGGGCATCTCTGCCCTTCCCCAGGCTGCTGTTCTATGTGAGCATGTCCTAAACCTGGCCAAGTGTGAGGCTTTGTGCTGGGGTTTGGAAGGGCTGCACCTGTGAGTTAATGGTTCAATGTGTGGTGGGAGGAGAGAGGGGGTGGAGTATAACACGCCTTTCTCATGACTATGACACATGGTCAAATGTGTGACCCTCCAGAGGAGAAGTGTAAAGGCACAGGCTTTTGCAAGAGAAGACTGCATCCAGGTGGGAACATCATAAGGATGGGGTCCCTGAGATGGTCACTGATGTAAGCTCCATCTTCCCATGGGTGGCAATTTGGGATGGATGTGTTGAGAAGACCTTCCAGGTATGGAGAATCACAGGAGGCAGCCCAGAAGCAGGGCCACACAGGGTGGGTGGGAGCAGCACTGAGGAGTCCAGGTCAGCTGGCACTGAGGAGGGCAAGGGGAGTGGCATCAGGAAAGGCAGGGTTGGCATGGCCTCAAGGGTGTGGGTCATATGGGCCATCAGCAGGTGGCAGAAAGCCTGGCGCCCTGGTTCTCCAGCTCAGCCACACATTACATTCACCTGCAGAGCTTTCAGGCTGACTGAAGTCCAGGCTCAGTCCACAGAGATTGCAAATGAATGGAGCTGGACTGCGTCCAGGTGCTGGGTATTTATTTTCAGAGCTCCCCAGCGGATGCTAATGTGCACTGAGGGCTGAGGAGCCACAGTGCCAGAGAAAGCTGGAGAAGTGACCCAGCAGCATCTAGATGGACTCGTGCTGGGTCTTCTGAGTGGGCAGGGCATTAGCGGAGGCATCAGCTGCAGTCAGCAGGAAACATGAGGGCCTGGACACCTGCTCTGCATGGGGAAAAGCCTAGAGCTGAGGAGGAGGGGATACAGGGGTAAAGTCCCCAGAACTGGGGCTGGGTGCCGGGGCAAAAGCAACCAAAGCTGACTCCAGGGAACATGTTCTAGGGTGGGGTTTCTCAACCTCAGTGCCACAACGCCTTGGGTCAGAGAACTGCTGTGGGGCTGTCCTGCGGATGAGGGATTTTTAACAGCCTCCCTGGCCTCTACTCATTAGCTGCCACTAGCAATATTCCCTTTCCAGCTGTGATAGCCAAAAGATGCATCCAGATGTTGCCAATATCCCTGGGGGGATCAAAATCCCCCCAGGTCCTCTTCTAGTGTGGCTCTTTCACAGGGCTGAATGTCATAGAAGGAAAAAGGCAGAGAGAAAAGGGGGACCAGGAGTGAGCTAGAGACCGGTGTGCCATCCCGTCTCACTCAGGAGCTGTGGTGGGGGCGCCATGTCAACTGTCGGGACAGTGGCCTCCCTGTGGGATGGAGGGGCTCTTACGTACTTGCTCAAGGGCTTCTGTTCACAGCAGAAGTGCTGCGTGTGGCTCTGGGGGGTTGCTATGTTAAATTGCCCTTTTCTGGACAATGAAACAAGGACTCCATCCCCTCCTCAGTACCATTAGCCAAGAAATCACTGTCCCTGTCGAGGTAAACTGGCTTCTTTTAATGGGAATAAATAATGTGTCAAACCAAAGTGTCAACAGAGCAAAGTGAGGGCTGTGAGCGTGGTGGTCTCCTCCTGCAGCTTTGCCCTGGCTCTCCAGAGGCAGTTGGGTAGGCACGTCTCCCTGGCCTACCACCTCTCCCAAACTCTCTGCTTTTCCAGAAAGACATTCCCATTCTACTCAGTCTGTTTTTCCAAAGTAAAGAATAAGTTCCATGAAACCTGTAGAAGCAGACTATATGGCTGAGAATGTAAAAATTGATTCAGTATTACTAGTTGATATTTATTTCCCCTAACAATAAGGTTTATTGACTTTTAATAGCAAGCCCGTTTTGCTACAGGTTTTCCACATGTGAAGTGGTGAGCTTTTAAGGAGAGTAACATCCAAAGGTTTTCCTCTCATTCTCCCCTTCAAAGAAAGTCTTTTTTGTGTGTGTGTGCCCTTCAAGTTTGTGGTAAAATGCGGGTAGCTATTTAATGGCAGAAAATTCAATGAGAGAGGAGTGTCCATTTGTCCTCAGTCCACAAAAGGACAGCAGTGGGGTGGTTCTGCTGTTTCAAAGTAGCAGCTACTCTTTTGGAGACCAGTGGCAGCCCAGGCTTCGGCCATGGCTGTGGGGAGCTCCCCATGGTGTGGGGTTGACATGTGGGCGTGTGTCCTTGGCTGGGGCTGTGGGGGCTGACACTTTGGAAGGACACTGAGTAAGTTAATTGTAGGTATGAGACAGCAGTCTGGGAAGACTAAGAAGGATGACACCGCCTGGGTTCTCAGATGAGCCCTTCACTGTACCCAGCTCACGTCCCCCCCACGACCTACTTTCTCGGCCTCCTCTCCAGAGCGCAGCAGGCCTCTGTTCCGCAGTGGGGCTGCTGCCTTCAATCTTCCTGGATGGTGGTGTTCTCCCTTGCTGAGCCTGGAGATGTGTGCCTGATTGTACTAGCTAAAAGTCCACTGGGGACCATGTTTCCAGTCTGAGTCTCATTTTTTAACAGCACGGTTTATTTGCCCTTTTTTAAGGGCTCAATTGTGAAGGCTGCTATGCTTAGCTAGCAGTACCCTGAATTTTTCAAAATACTCCCTCCTGTGTAAAGTCTGCTTTTAAAGTGACTTCCATCTTTTATAGTTAATGAACATTTAGGGAGCACTTGGTTGAGGCTCAGACAATTTATATGGGGTGCTTTAAGAAGTATTTTAAGATATAAGAGGGGCCAAGCATAACTGAGTCATATCTGTGGTGGTGAATGTGCACGCAACACTCACAGCCTGCCTGCATGTGCTTGGACACACACCTGGCAGGAAGAGACTACATAAAATTCACCTGTGCATTCACTCTCAAATGTGCATCTGACACTCTGAGCGGAGGACAGTTTGCTGTGAAGATGTAAAAATATAAAAATACTTTGGTTTTTACTCTCAGACGTTGATGTATTTGAACAGGATATTTCCCTGGTCTAGAGTAAGAAATGAACTTACACTGACCATAATTTAGCACGAGCTCAAACCCATGTCTAACGGAAGTTTCCCAAAACAATAACCTTTGTGATACATCGTGTATCTATTCTTGCCTTCCATTTCATAACCACTAAATTGACTTCACGGCCTAACTATGCTTTGAAAAACACTGTGGTGGGAGAGACAACCATGGTGATAAAGGAGTTGAAAGCCAGCTCACAGCTCTGGGAGTGTGACAAAGGCCCTGCTTGGCTTCTCTTCACAGGTAGCATCATGCAGAGCAGAGGCCTTTCTCCCAGGCCAGGGTGGCAGACAATGGGAACCTTCTCTCTCTTCTCTTCTGCTATAGACACTCATGTTAGGTCTCTGAATGGCGCTTTACGCAGGATGCCCAAGTTCATTTCAACACACCCTGTCCTCGGCTACTGAGGCTCCCCTATGACCAGTGCTAACAAAGCACAAAAGGAGCCCCAGCCCCCACTGATCCTGCTCAGATCTGCACTGCCCTTTCAAATCATCCTCCTCAATCACCATTTCATTGTGACATCCGGAGCAGGGTCGCACTCCACCATTGGTGGGCACCCACTAAACACCCTGATGTGGACTCCCTTTGGAGAGCTGCCTTATTTTCAAAGATAGAAAAAGAACACAAACACAAACACAAAGCCTGCATTTTTCAATCCATCAAAGATCATTCTTGAGGACCTATTTCAGTGCTGAGAGAGGTGCTGTAGTGCATAAAGATACAGGCAAGAAATTTAGGATGTGCTCCTTGTCCTCAAGGGCATCTTGTTAGGATGATACAAAGGCTGAGACAAGTCAACATGAGGGAATTGGGAGAAGGTCACCTTTGGAATGCCTCCCTGGTGGGAGTCATGGTTACCGAAGCACCAGGAAGCATTATGAACAGGGGCGTTCGATGCAAGGCTCTTGGCCTCTCTGATTTTACTTAATTTATAAATGCTCTAAGGCCTTTTCCAGCAATAAAAGGCTGAGATTGTGTGTGTGCGCGCACACACACACACACACACACACACACCAGAACTCAAGTACTGGGATGTAGCTTTCCTCACAATCCTCACATCCTTTCTCCTTGATCTTCCTTTTGAGAACTTCCCAGTCCTACTGAGACTTTTTTTTTAAGTCACCTTCCAAAGTTGTTTTAACATTAAGTGCCAAACTTGAAAATTGTCAGATCAGCCACCAGCCTCCCATTTCCTATTTACTGCTTGATGCTCCTGTTAGGGGGTCCTGTTCTTTTTGCTGTCATGCAAAGAAGCAAATGAAAGTTCTCTCTCCTCCATTAAGAAAAACACAAGATTTCCAAATCTCCTGAAGTCCAACTCTGCAGCCCCAACCAGGACCCTGAGCTGAACTGCCATATGCCTTGCTGCATGGAAGGCTCTTGACTGGCCTCCCTGTGAGGCTTTTCTTCCAGGGGCTTCCTCCAGCTCCTCTTTGAGCTCTCATTTGCATCTCCCCTTCTCCTGCACTTTTTATCTGAGCCTGGTTCCTCAGTGTTCAGAGTTGTCTCTGGGAGCACTGACTTGGTGCCCTTCCCTCACTGGTAATGGCACTGCCTCCTGTTTCCCTGTGTTGTCCCCTTGCCTCCAAACTGGGCCCTTTCCCCAAAGTTCCAGTATTCTGACAGCTCCAGCATTTCCCCACTTACTGGGCCTCCCAGCTCTCACATATTATTATCCTAATTACCTATTAAACTGTGTAGTGCTGAGACTATAAATGGAATCACATTTGGCTGGTTTTACTTTTCATCTTCTATGTCTAATCGACTTCCCTGTGCTGTTGTTTTTGCCTTTAAAACATTTACGGAAGTCAGGTTCTTCTCATGGCAGCACCCAATCCAGACCCTGATTTTCCCACACCAGGCGCATGCTGGCAACTTCCTGGTCGTCTCCCTCTCCTTGGCTTCTCCCTCCTTCTTCAGACCTGTCATACTCATTTCCCTGAAACAGCACATTCACAAAGTGACTTTATGCCGAGATCCTAATGTGACTTCAGCTGCCAAATGAGTCATGCCACTCCCCACCTAGCCTCGGAGGCCTCTGACACCTGGTCACCTTTCGCTATCCCAGGTTATTTTCCTTCATGCCCAGGGCTGCTGTTTGCATGGTGAACCTGATTCTACCAGTGTAGGCTTAAGCAAGTCACTTAGCCTCTGGCTGACTCAATTTCCCCATCTGCCAAATGGGTGAAATAAAAATCTCGGCCTTACTATGGAGGACATATGGAGCCAAGAGCTAGGAAACCAGCAAGAAAAGAGGAGCCACTCTCAGACTTACTTCCCAGATATAGAATTTCAAATAACAAGCTTGAAAATTAAGAATAAATGACATGCCATTGAGTTCTCAGTTAACTTCCTATTTGTGTAGTGTTGCTTCAAGGGCAAAACTATACATGATTTGATTACAGACACAACAAGTTTTAAAGTTGATGTTTGGTCATGTAGCTGAGGTATACTCTGTAAACTTGTAGAAATTCATAAACAGGCAGACTTGGGACACTTTTAAGGAGGAAGACCACATTTTAGCCATTCTCCCAGACACACAGCCAGTTCCTGGCACATTCCAGGTCAACTCTCCATGACCAGGACCATCCAGGCCTTTCTTTTTTTTTTTTTTTAATTTTTTATTGTTGGCTGTTCAAAACATTACATAGTTCTTGATATATCATATTTCAGTGAAAGGAGAGGTAGACAGCATGGCATCCCATAAAACAATGGCAGACCCCTCTGTTCCTGCCAAAGGACTCCGGGCACAGGCCCATCATGTAAAGTGCCTGGGGAGGAGTGAGAACAGGGACCTCAGCCCCAGCCTACGAAGGAAGGTTCAACCACGAGTAAGTCAAGGTGACCACAGGAAGCGCTCAGTAAATATTTTTTGACAAATTTAACTCCAGTTGTAATTCGAATCTTGCCCTCAGGGTTTCTGTCATTGAAATAAAAAGTTCTCAAGCCTAACTAGGGAAACAATACCTTCATCCGAAAGAAATTCCACCAAACAGTGTACTCCTTATAATAAGATGGCCTTAAATCTGAAGTAGTCCTATTGCATTATAGTAAGCAATGGGGCTTAACGGATCCTTACTAAGAACCAATATTGTAAGGCATGGTTATATTAAAATATGATCTGGCTTTTCCCTCTGTGCAGCATCTTACACAATGTTGATACCATATGCACTTTAAAAATCAACCTAAGGTTGGCCTGATCATCTTGTGGCTTTGGGTGAAGAAATGGGAAGCAAGGCCTGCTTGCAGAGAATGTACTTGGTGCTCAGGGTCTGGATGTACTGGGGCAGTGCTATCTTCCAGCAAGGATGTTGCTGGGACTCAAGTCTAAGATGCTTATACATTTGTACTTCCTCAAATCAAAGCTGGGATGTGGACTTGGAGGCTTAAATTAGCCCTGGGCAGATAGTGATGAAGCACAGGGCAGCACTGGATAAGGCTGGGAAGAGGAGACACAAAACTAACTAACTGGGCTTTCCTAATTTCCTCAAAATCATGTCTGGCTTCTCACTGCATTTGAATTTAACTTAATATAGAGGATGTGCTGCCTGAAAGAAAAAGGGTATTTTCCCAGGCAACAGAGAAGCCAACAAAGGGTGGTCCCATCCCATGGCCCTGGCGCTCACCTGGTCCACTGTCCACCGGGCCACCTGGCTGGCCTGGATGTCAGCTACACCTGGCAGCAGCTTGCAGTGCTGCTCCCTGCAGAGGGGAAGCTCCCGAGAAGGGTGGGCTGACATGGAAGTCAGGAAGACCGATTGGTGCAGGGCCTGCTGGTTCTGCTCAGCTGAGTATTCTGAAAGAGAGGCAGTGTGGAGTGAGCAGCAGGTCAGCCTGGAGCCGAGGGCCTGTGGTCAGGGTAGGAAAGATGCAGACACAACCAACAGCCTTGTCTCCTGCTTATACAAGGTCACATGGCCAGGAGTCCCCATGCATAGCCTATACCATGGTTCTGCTTTAGAACAGTGGCCTAGCCAAAATAGATGTCATGTTAGGCCCTGAAGACTGTGGCTGCTTGCTTTAAATACTTTTAATACAAATCATTTCTGTGAGATACTGTATGATGGCCAGTGAAGGACTAGCTTGTCACTGCCCCTGGCTTCTCTCTCCTTAAATCAGAGTCATAGGAACCAAAGACCCACTCAGAATGTGAATGCTGAGCAGATTGGCATACTGAACTATCTGAGATGTGTATGTACAAAAGAACAATTTCTTCCTGGAAGCCACTTTATACATCTCTAAAGCTGGCCAGGTCCACATCTGGCTTCCTAAATCCCCTGTTGACACTGAATGAAATGTAGCACAGGGTCCTCATGAGAACTGGGGTGACATCAGCTGCTGCTGTCAATCCCCAGCACACAATAACCTCAGGTGGGAATCTGGGGCAGCTAAGGATTTCTGGAAAGCAGCCTCAGCTGAGATGTGATTTCCCTGGCACAGGCATTCTTAAATGGGGGTGCTCTCTTTTCTGAACAAAAGCTCTGAGTGCACCAGAGTTGTGAGGGCATAAAGAACAATGGCTGGTGCTTGCCCAAGAGTGGCTGCTCTTGAAGTGAGACTTCAATGGGATTGATGCACTTCAATGTCATTTTTATTAACACTTCTGTTTAGTTTTTCCCCTCAATAGTGACTTCACTATTTATTTATTTGTTTATTGCAGTGCTGATGATTGAACCCGGTGCCTCATGCATGCTAGGCAAGTGCTCTACCATACTATTACATCCCTAGTCACAAAGTAACTTTATTCTTAAGTTACATCCCAACATTTAAGATAGACCATAGATTTAAATCCTCTATTTTACTTTGAACCTACAAATGGGCAAGGAACAAAAACCTGTTACAGAGATTTCAGAAAAAAACATTGCCTTTATAATACCTTCTAAGATACTTTTGACATGCATTAGCAAAATAAAACTACCAATATTTAAAAAGACTTTGAAAAGACATATTATGAAAAGAAATTTTTCAAGACTTATGAAAGTACACCCTTCATAATGCAAATGGCAGGTTAAGAAAGCAATAGCTACATAATTTAAAGTTTATTATGATGGTTGGTGTTTTACAAACTGAGCCTAAAGAGTTATTATGCAAATAATTCCACCTCAAATTAATTACAGTTCTTAAAGGGTCAGGCTGACCTGCACTTGACATGGTCGGTTGTATACCTTTTGTAATCAGAAAGGCCCTAAGCTTTAAGCAATCTGTCTATCACTGGGATTCTCTATACGACGCTGCTCTTGTGGATGGCAGCAGACATCCTCATATTTACCAAGGCTTGCTGTCTACCCAGATGAAGAGACAGCAAAATTGCCAGCTTCTTCCCAATTCTTATGCTCCAGTTGCAACCAGCAGCAAATTCATCTCTAACTGCTGATTGTCCAATGCTGACCTTTTTAATATGTAAATAGGTTATCTCTCTTCATGTAGTTCTGCCAACAGTATGTAAGGCTGCAGGTTCTGAAAGGAAACTTCATATCTTCTTGGAAAAGCCAGTATGCTGACATATAAGAATGTCCTTTAATGAAGTTGTCCCATTGTACAAGGAGCATGCACAAAACAAGCCCTGAAGCCCAGGATGGAAGCATCACAGGGCCAGGCTGTGATTATAGCAACACAGAAACCTCAGAGAACTTCCCAGGGAAATCCAGAGCCATGGTCTCTTAAGGATTAAGACCTCCCATTGGCTCAGGTAGCAAGACAGCCTTTAGAATTAAAGGCAGGGAGCTCTTGCTTTATACTTTTGAATTTAGATTGGCTTGATATTATCTATGGCTTTTGAATATGGTTAACCGTGCCCCTGTTAAATCAAAGTATTCATTTGGAGGGAATTGGAATTTGGATTACTCAAGGAATGAACAAAACTTACTTGGAAGCCCATGAGAACTGTGGGGAACAATTTTAATGCCACAGGAGATCCCACCATGGGCAGTGGAGAAAGATCTACAGCTCTCTGCTGGGCTGTAAAGTCCCTACCTGAGTTCCAAGAATTTTTACCGGGTATAAGGGTTAGAGTCTATTTATCTGCAACCTCAAGTCCTGGGGAATTAGTCACATGTTTAACATGTGAAAATTTTTTACTGTTATTAATTTTGTTGTATCAATTTCACATCATTGAATAAAAACTTGAAAATTAATTTTCCATGTTTTCAGTTGAACATGGGTATGTTCAACCACAGTCTGAAAACATTAAATAGAAAATTTCAAAAGTGAACAATTCATAAGTTTTAAATTGTGTGATGTTGTTGAAATCTTGTGGCATCTTTCCTGTGATGTGAGTCCTCTCTTTGTCCAGTGTATCCACTCTGTACACACTACCTGCCCGTTAGTTACCCACTAGCTGTTTGTTATCAGATTGACCACTATGGTATAGCAGTGCTTGTGTTCAAGTAACCTTATTTTATTTAATAATGTCCCCAAAGTACAAGTACTGATGCAAAGGAGGCAACAGGGCACAAAACATGAAAGGAGAGATTAACTCTGGTTTTAAGTGGCAATGCTGCAGGGCATCTAGGAAAAAACAGAGTATATAGTGGGTTCAATATATAAGCAGTTTCAAGCATCCAGTGGGTCTTGGTATGCCCTGTGGGTAAAGAGGGATTATTGTACTTAAAAAGAGTTAGGTTAGGAAAGGAGCTTCTAAATAACTAGTCTATCATCTCTAAGACATGACTGGAGTTGACAATATCTACCATGCAGTGCTGGTGTGAGGGTGAAGGGTAAAGCACTCAGCAAGGTCGAAGCTGCTGTAATCACTCAATGCAGGTACTACTCTAAACGCAATCTGAATCTTTGAGACTGGGATTAATGTTTTATAAAGGAAAGTTGCATAACTCCAAATCAACACAATGCAAGACTAATTCTCAGGCAGTGACAAAAGGGAATGTATTTGGGGGGAGTGTTTCATGGTAACTGTTTTGTATCCTTTGTACCCTTTTCCAGGTCTACTTTCTTCCACAGCTGATGAGTTTGGAGTGGGACCCTTAGGTTGAGCTGAAGGAGTGCTTAGATGACCTTGCCCCAGAGGTACTGTGGCACAGAGAGGGAAGGTTGGGTTGACCAGATTGCTTGGTTTTGGAGCAGAAAAGTGACCTTGAATGAGATGTTTACTGCCTATGCATCCAGGTTTTCCTCTCTAAAGTAGGTAATAATAGTACTTACACCTCACTGAGTTGCTGTGATTAGAATAGCTCTTAGTATAAAATGAGTGTTTAGTGCATGTAAGATATCACATTACTGTTTCAAGACATAAAGGTTGCAACAATAGTGAATGTGGGGACATATAATATGCCCAAAGCAAGTGCAACTAGATGTCCCTGAAACCTATAAAAGCTGAAATCCATACTGAGACTCAGGTTCTTGAGGGCCATGTTCAGATTCACACCCAAGAAGTCCTGGAATGGCAGTGCTGTGGTCAGCAGAACCCTTTGCAGAAGTCCCAGAGGAGGGAAATGAGAGTGGCATCCTCAGGCTGCTTCCCAGGCAAACTAGGCCCCATGTGTGGTGGTAGCCTCACAGCACTGCTAAAATTCAGTGGGGCTGGCAGCTTGGAGATTACGTGACTCTTGACAGACTTTTTAAATCAGAGGTTGATTTGCATTAGTTTAAATTCTGTGCATAAAATTAGACTTTTGAAAATATCTGCTTAAAAACTTGCATCATCTTTATAAGATGTGAACACAGTAATTTGAACTTTTCTCTAAATCCAATACAGCACATATCATATCAGATATTTGCTAGATAGTTGCTAATCAATAAGTTACATAAACCACTGATGAAGGTGTATAAATCATGTGCTGTGTGAGGATTTTCAGTCAGCAATGGGCTGTGTATATAATGGTAGTCCTGTTAGATTACTGTAGAGCTAAAAAATTCCTGTTGCCTGATATTTTTACTATACTTTTTCTATGTTTAGACATGAAGATACACAAATACCATCATGTTACAGTTGCCTACAGTATTTAGTATTGTAACATGCAGTACAGGTTTGTAGCCTAGCAGGATCAGGCTATACCAACTGTTTAGTAGGCTCTGCCATCTAGGTGTATAAACAACACTTCGTGATGTCTGCATGATAAAATCACCTACTGATGTAGTTCTCAGACTGTCAAGTGATACATGTCAGTACTGTCCTCAAAATCATTCTCATCAAACTAAAAGGTTCAGATTATTCTATCTTGGGGCACTTTGGGTAAATAGGGGCTTCCAGATTGGAAAAGGACATTTACCATCAAGCAGGCAAGAAGGTCACTTGCGCTTCATTCCAGCTCTGCTTCTACCTACCACAGCTGAGGGATATGGGCTGCTTCCCAGTTTCACTGCCTCACTGCAGTAATGACTCTTCCCCAGTTTCCCGAAAAGTCAGCCAAGGAAATTCATCCTGCAAACACAGCCCTCCTACTGGAGGTTTCAACATTCTAATTAATCAAAATGTCCTTTGCACCAGAAAATGAAATGCGTATGAAATCCTGGCTTTGTCTCTAAACTCAGTGTGTGAGTGACAACAAAGGAAGCTATCCCTACATTTAGGATAACCTTTCCCTTCCAGAAAACAAGAGTAGTAACACTTGTCACTCCAGTGGGTTACCATTTGTGGAACTGTTGAAGGATTTTTGCTACCACTTTTTTCACAATGGGTATTTCTTTTGGATTTCATGGCCTTTAAAATTATAATGAAGTGTTTAAGGATTTCATCAAGGTGCTTAGGGATCTGGGCCAACAACTTCAGCTCTGCATCCCACCCCAGGGTCCAAAGAAGTCCTGCACTAGAGCAATGGGAGACTTGGCCATAGATCGTGA